GATATGGACTCCTTTCCTGGACAAACTAACCAGATTGGATCTGGAAGTCTGATTTGATCTTTATGGATCTTCACTGTCTCGTGACATCTCTTTTGGTATTTTTGTTGTATTCATTACTCTTAACTCTGGCCTTTCAAAAATATGTTTAATGTTAATGTAATATTATTACATGTGTTTTACATGGAGAGAGTGGGTGGGGTGGATGGATTTTATTTCTGAAGTTTGTCTTTTTTTCTTTTTTTTTTTTTTTTCTTATGTATATGTTTTGTGTATTAAAAAAGAAAAAAAGTGTAAATTTTGTACACTGGAAGTATAATATGTATGGTTATACATTTTGAATAAATATATCTATATAAAAAAAAAAGGGGGGGACCGTAGAGTTTGTTCCAACTACAGGGGAATCACACTCTTAAACCTCCCTGGTAAGGTCTATTTGGGGGTTCTGGAGAGGAGGGTCCGTCGGATAGTCGAACCTCGGATTCAGGAGGAGCAGTGCGATTTTCGTCCTGGCTGTGGAACACTGGACCAGCTCTACATTCTCAGCAGGGTCCTGGAGGGTGCGTGGGAGTTTGCCCAACCGGTCTACATGTGCTTTGTGGACTTGGAGAAGACGTTCGACCGCGTCCCTCGGGGAACCCTGTGGGGGGTACTCTGGAAGTATGGTGTACCGGGCCCTTTAATACGGACTGTTAGGTCCCTGTATGACCGGTGTCAGAGCCTGGTCCGCATCGCCGGCAGTAAGTCGGGCTTGTTCCCGGTGAGAGTTGGACTCTGCCAAGGTGGCCCTTTGTCACCGATTCTGTTCATAACTTTTATGGACAGAATTTCTAGGCACAGCCAAGGTGCTGAGGGGATCCATTTTGGTGGCCTTAGGATTGTGTCTCTGCTTTTTGCAGATGATGTGGTCTTATTGGCTTCATCAGATCGTGATCAACAGCTTTCGCTGGAGCGGTTCGCAGCCGAATGCGACGCGGCCAGGATGAAGATCAGTTCTTCCAAATCCAAGGCCATGGTCTTGTGCCGGAAAAGGGTAGAGTGCCCTCTCCGGGTAAGGAGGAGGTCCTACCCCAAGTAGAGGAGTTCAAGTATCTTGGGGTCTTGTTCACGAATGAGGGAAAAATGGAGCGTGAGATCGATAGGCGGATAGGTGCAGCGTCTGCAGTGAAGCGGGCGCTGTACAGGTCTGTCGTGGTGAAGAGAGAGCTGAGTCAAAAGGTGAAGCTCTCAATTTACCGATCGATCTATGTTCCTACCCTTATCTATAGTCACGAGCTTTGGGTTGTGACCAAAAGAATGAGATCTCGGATACAAGCGGCCGAAATGAGTTTTCTCCGCAGGGTGTCTGGGCTCTCCCTTAGAGATAGGGTGAGAAGCTTGATCATCTGGGAGGGACTCAGAGTAGAGCCGCTGCTTCTCCACGTCGAGAGGAGCCATTTGAGGTGGCTTGGGCATCTGTTTAGGATGCCTCCTGGACGCCTCCCTGGTGAGGTGTTCCGGACACGTCCCACTGGAAGGAGGCCCAGAGGAAGACCCAGGACACGCTGGAGGGATTATGTTTCTCGGCTGGCCTCGGGATTCCCCCAGAAGAGCTGGCCCAAGTGGCTGGGGATAGGGAAGTCTGGGCCTCCCTACTTAGGCTGCTACCCCCACAACCCGACCCCGTATAAGCGGAAGAAAATGGATGGATAGACGGAGTGGCATCAAGTTTTAGCAGTTTTAGAAGTTATATTTTGTCATTTTTCAACAATGGACTCAGCATGAGCAGAAGATGAGGCAGAAGACCATGGAGAATATTGTTTTTCACACAAGGCAGCTGACGGCTCCATATGAGCTAAGAGAAATGTGTGTTTGTTTGTCCTGCGCTGTACTCCACTTCCTGCTTGTGGAGCGGGGCCCGGTCTGTTTACATTCACACTGTACTCAAACCACGCTGGAGTTCTCTTCTACTGGACCGAGACCTAGGTTTTAGTCCGGGCCAGAGTTCGCGTTTTTGTTCCGTGACAGAGTTCGATGGCGCATTCACACCTCCCCAAACAAACCGGACTTTCTAGGAAAACGAGCTAGAGTTCGATTAAAGTGGACTAAACAGGGCTGGTGTGAATGCACCCTGAATGTAAAAATTAGAACTTGTTGGTAAAATGAAGCTGATAGTTTAGACTGAGATGG